AACAGGGCAATCAGAGTCTTGAGGAGTACTATGCCAACATGAGGAACATACGTAATGAGTTGAATGTCTATCATCCTCTCACTTCTGATGTCAAGATTCAGCAACAACAGAGAGAGCAGCTTGATGTGACTAGATTTTTGGTGGGACTAAAGCCTGAATATGAACCAATACGGGCTCAGATATTAGAGGGATCAGCTCTTCCGTCCCTAGAAGAGGTATTTGCTCGACTCCGGAGGATTTCTATTGGATCTACTGAGAACTCTAATATCTCAGATAGATCTGCCTTTGCTGCATCGAGAGGCCGTGGTGTTAGAGGTGGAGCTCGGGGAGCTTAGTCTGGTTGTGGTGGTGGTAGTGGTTGTGCATATGGCCGAAGTGGCAATGGTGGGTCTACTTATAATCGTGGTGGTGGTCGTACTGGGAGCAGAGATTCAGGGGGAGCCCATGGTAGAGGACGTAGCTCAGGCCCGAGGAAGTGCACTCATTGTGTTATGGATGGACATACCATCAACTATTGTTATGATCAACATGGTCCCCCCTCAACCTGGGCCAATCATGCCGCGACCGGTGACTCAAGTTCCAGCTTTAGACAGGAGAATCATTTGACCAGATGCCTCCTACTTCCACAGATGGTCCCATGAAGGAGATGGTGAGTGTTCCCCGTGATGAATATGAGAGGTTTATCCAATCACAGCAGAACACGGCGACTTTTGCTCACTCAGGTATGGCTTGTCTGGCATCTACACCCAATCCCTGGATCATTGACTCTGGAGCCTCCGATCACATGACTGGAACTCCAAGTGTGTTTTCCTCCTTATCTCATTGCTCAACATCACAATCTGTCACCCTTGCTAATGGTTCCACATCCTCAATTTGTGGTGTTGGTAATGTTGACCTAGATCCTGTATCCCCCTCATCAGTTCTGTATGTTCCTAAATTGCCTTTTAACCTTATGTCTGTTAGTAAGCTRACCAAATCACTTAACTGCTCCATTACCTTTAAACCTTCTATGTGTGTCTTTCAGGATCTCAAGACGGGGATGAAGATTGGTGGAAGGCATGAAGCAGGTGGACTGTATTATCTTGACAGTGGTGGTGGTAGAACTTCAACAGCTCTCCAGTCATCTCTTTATCCTCTCCAGTGGCACTGCCGATTTGGTCATCTGTCGCTAAAAGTCTTGAAGTC